CATTGATCCATGTGTCTCAAGTCCTACATTCTGCACACACGTGCACACACGTACACACACACATGCACACACTCAGCCTTCCCCACCCATCTGGGCATCGTGTCCACTTCTCTGTTCTGGACAGATTGCACAGAGAAATAAAACTCTGAAAAGTTCCTATGGTTGTGGTAAGGACATCCCTTATCTGGATGACGCAGCGCACCATGTGTTCCTCAGGGCGAGCCAGGGGAGCAGTTGATGCATGCTCTGCAGTTCTCTCCTCTGCTGTGAGGAGCCCTGAGCTCAGCACAGGGCAGCAGGTGTGGGTCAGGCATCTCCAGCTCCCAAGTGTTTCTGACGCTGCTAACCACAGGACCTGGGAGGACATCGAGGTCTGTGAGGCCTCAGTTTCTCAAGCCGTTGTGTGGGTGCATCCTAGAGCTCACCCCAAGATGGAGAGGTACTTGGGCAACAGAGGCCCACAGCAAGTCCTCAAGCCATTGCTGTCGCGCCTATGCACACTTTGGTGTCTCCACTGCCTCCAGCCAACTCCCCACTCTGAGAGTGCAGCCGAGATTGGCTGCACTGCATCTGCTTTTGCTCTTTGTCTGCATGAGGCGTATTCAGCTGTGCGGGTGCCCAAAATCTTGTCTTGTGACCATGTGGGACAGAAGACACACTCCAAAGAAACCTCGTGAGTGTCTGAAACCAAGGCCATTTCATTAAGAAGGAATGACCATCATCAAGAAGTAAAATACCGGGGGCTGGGGGTTTAGCTCAGCACCTGCCTTGAAAGCAGGCAGTTGTGAGTTCGATCCCTGGTATCGATAAAAAGGAAAAAGACAAAAAAGAAAGAAAGAAAGATTATAAAAAAAAGAAGAAGAAGTAAAATACCAAATGCTGGTAAGGCTACAGGCTGGGGAGGGAACTTGTTACACTGTGGATGGGAATGTAAGTTGGGATGACCACTGTGGAAATCAGTATGGAGAGTCCTCAAAAACTAAGAATCAAAATCCCACTTGACCCAGCTATTCATCTTCTAACAATGCTCCCAAAAGAATTAGAGACATCATATCACAGTGATACATGCACAACTATGTTCATACTAACACACATCATAGTAGCTAAATCTTGGAGGCAGCCTGTCTGTCCATCAGCAGATACACGGGTGAAGAAAATGCAGTGTTGACACTCAGTGGAAAGATGGAAATTTTTCAGTCATTCGTAGGAAAATGGATGCACCTTGGGGATATAATGTAAATGAAATAAATTAGACACACAACCTGAAATAGCACATGGTTTCTCTTACGTGGAAAATATAAACAGCAAAATAAGAGGTAGATAATAGGAAGCAGGGAAATAGATCTTTCTCAAAAGGAGATTGAAGCCAAGGGAGAAAGAAAGGGAAGATAAGTTAAAAGTGGAATTAAGATGTGTTCTGCACATGCAGCGACTCCACACAGGACCGCAATGTTGTAAACTGCAAACATGTACTAAGAAAATAATAAAAATAACTAGTAAGAGCCGAGTTGCCAGGTCATGGAGGTGAGGGTCTTGCTCAGTGGAACAGCACGTGCTTAGCATGCACAAGGGACTGGGTTCTACCTCAAGCACACACACACATGCACACTCATGCACACACAACTGGAATTGCTGAGAAGCCGCAGAGCTGGCCAGGCATGACCCCATCAGACACAGACTGGTGTCTGACTGAGAAACAAGGAGCCTGTGTTGCAGGAGCCGCCTTGGGGAGGCGAGATTGTCTCAGGCCAGAGAGCTTCTCCCCATTCCAGGGGGTGCAGGTGTGATTGGGGGCGGAGGCTGTGCAAGCACAGGCACATTGCTACGAAGCCAGGGCTCTGCAAGTGCGTGATCCAGGCAGCCCGAACCCCATCCTGAGCAGGTCGGTGGCCAACCCTGCCCATCCCTGTGGACAGCATTGAGTTCTGAAGCACGGTTCCAGTAAAACCCGATGAGCAAGTGCTACACCATGATTCATACCTGATGCCTCCTGTCAGCTGCAGTCACTTTCCTAACTTCCCCACGCCTCGCCCCTTAGCTGGGTCAGGGACTCTGAGGCCTCCTGTTGCTTCCAAGTGAACACTGCTCGGGGGCTGGAGGACCCTGAGTACGCAAGGAGTCCTTTCCCTGCCCTGCGTTACTAGAATAGGGGACACAGAAGAACATCACATATCCTGCCGGTCTCCTGTTTCAAAATACCTGGGGCTTGGCCCTGAGGCAGGCCGGGAGATGGGGTGTCACTCTGGAAGGCATGGAAGGTGGCCTCTGACCTCTCTGGAGCAATATAGTGATGTAGGGGCAGGGGTTCCTGAAGGGATTCCCAGGCAGCTGGCTGTGGCTGAGCTGGGTTGCAGGAGAGGTGTGTGGCAGGGCAATCTCATTCAGCCAGTACTCTCAGTCTCCTCTGAATCTAGGCCGAGCCCTGCCGGCCAGCAGCTACTCTACAGGAAGACCCTGAGGCCAGGAGGGCCACAGAGCTGGCAAGTGTGGGGGCTGGGTGGGCCAGGGCACAGGTAAGTCCCCTGCAGAGATGGAGCTGGAGGCCACAGGGTGGGTAAGGGCTGCACATGGGACCCCAGCAGCCCTGGTCATATCCTGGATCAGTTACTGTTAGTGGGAACACAGGTCATATCCTGGATCAGTTACTGTTAGTGGGAACACAGGATGAGCCCCCTGGAATCTGCCAGCGATCTTAGTAGTCATGAGCAGCTTGGTTCTTCCATTATGAGATAAAGACTTCGTTTGGATAAAAGGAAAAAAATAACCTGAGCGAAACCTGGCTTTGTTGACCAGAGACACACATGAGCCACATAAGGACAGACAGTTTTGAAAATCTGAACTGTCTGAACCAGTTAGGCAGTAAAGGTGACAGAGACCAACATGTCACAAATACAGTTCGAAGTGGAAAGGTTAAAACAGTTGCATTTCTCTCTGGCAAAGGAAGCAGGCTAGGAGTGCCCAGCATTGTACCCAGGAGCCTGGGGCTGCTAGCGAGGTGAAGCCCTGACACATGTCCAGCCAGGAAGTTGCATGGGAAACTCAGGGTTTCAGGACACTGTGAACCATTCACCCAGGACAGGTTTTGGGGGTGAGGAAAACGTCAGTTGTCTTCAGTCTCCCATGGGGCAGGGGCCTGAAAGGAGCCCAAGGGGGCGGAAAGTGGTCTGAGGCTGCAGTCTAGGTTCCAGGAGGGGCATAGCTCCAAGAGAGGGGCCTGGGCTGGGCTTCGAGTGAGCAAGGAAGGGTGGGCAGCCGTGGGCAGCTTGGGCTGAGAGCTGAGCTGAGCCACACAGAAAACTGCACCTCTGCACATTCTGTCCCCTCCCTACCTCTCACCTTGCTCTCTCTGTCTTTGCCTCCTATTGATTTATTCTTTCTTCATCCTCCTCTGTGCCTTCCACTCCTCCTCCTCCTCCTTTTGATCCTCAGGTGAAGTCCCAAAGAGGACCCCCAAGTCCAGGCCTCCAAGAACCAAGGGACCCCAAGACTCAGGGGCACCGGGCTGCACAGCAGGAGGCACCTTTGCCCATCAGACCTGATTGCCCCTCTCTCGACCCATTTGGCTTTTCAGTGGATGTTCATCTCATTGCCATCCTCTCCTTGTGAGAGGATCAGTGAGGGACTGGGAGAGATGAAGCCGTCACTCATGCTGTGGCGTCCGTGTCCAACCGAGGCAGAACTGGTCCCAGGTTTTTGGCTAGTTGTCTCCACTGCTTTCTGACCTCTCACTGAGCTGTCCCAGGGCTGAGAACAGCCACACTCACCAAGGCCTGTTGCTGGCTGTGGGATGTTTGTGATGTGTGCCTGCACCCTGGGCAATGTGTGCTTATGGGTGCATCCAGACTATATAACCAGGCCAGACAAATCTGAGGAGGGGTCCTCCTGGTGTGCAGGGTGGCAGCTCAGTAGACAGACATGGGCCCACCATGGGGTGGACCCAAAAAGGGCCCCAGGCTTCATAGCTTCCCTTAACCCAGAAACCTGAAGTTTTACGCGTAAGACAGATGTTAAGACTGCATACTGGGCAGGCATGTTTGAAATGGGGCTGTGTGTATTTGTGGGTGTTTGTGAACGTGTGTCACACACGTTATATGTGATTTAGGGGCATGTTGGTGCGTCTGTGCCTTTTGTAGGTCTAAGTGTGAGTGTTGTGTGTGTTTATGTTTCTGAATACCTATTTGTGCATGTGTGTTTATAGAAGTACACTTGTTTTGTGTGTGTTGTATGTGCATGTTTATGGAAGCATGTTTGTGTCTGCATGTGTGCTGTGTGTGTGCTGAGTTTGTGGAAGCACATCTGTGTGTGTGTTGTGTGTGCACTGAGGGAACCCGTGGTGTCCAGGGGAGGCTCCCATTCCCCACATGTGGTCTCCATGCCCAGCCCTGCCTGGAGGACATCGGATGCCTGGGGTCTGACATCAGGGGAGCAGCAATGCCTTCAGCCACTAAGCCCTGCCACATGCAGAGCAGCCCCTGGCGTCACCGTTGTCTGCTCCCCAGCTCAAATCACAAGAGGCTTGTGCCACCAAGCAGTAGTGGTGCAGGTTGCCAGTCAAATCAGTTAAACAAACGGAACAAGAAGCTGACAAAGTGGGGAAATGCTCTGTGATAATCACAGAGTGGACTCCACAGCACCCCCCACCCCATCGCTGCCCCCCACCACCACACCCAAGAGTCTGCCAGGCAACTAAAGGATGAGGGATTTAAGGGTGTGAACAGCAAGGGGCCAGGATGGAGGGGGGCGCAGACAGCGCTGCTAAATCTGAAGCACAGGCAAGCTGGGTCAGCTGCCATGGACATCGTCTCCCTGGACCCTGCCCCAAGGAAAGTGCCCATTGGAGGGCACAGCCCACACTCGTGTCCCTCTCAGTGAGTAAGGTGCAGGGACCTGGCAGTCAAGGCAGGCCTTGGAAGTGGGAGACAGATGTTTAAGTAACCATGAACACGTGTGTCGTGTATTCTGAAGTGTCAGGTGCTGTATAAAATCAAGCTCCTAACAAATTTGTTTCAGGGTTTATTAGTGTAGATGAATAACAAAGCCCCAGGTGACATCGCCCCTCCTTCCCGAATGGCAGGACATTTGCCTGGGAAGCAAACTGGGCTGCTCCACAACTGCAGGTCCGGAGTGAGCAGGTCATACTTCAAGTACACCATTGTTAGGTGTTTGCATTCTCATCTCAGGCTTGGGAAGCATTACAGACACTCACACCCTCACACTACATCACAGAACAAACCTCGAACATTGTCTAATTCAGGCTAAAGGCCCTCGGCTAATCTGAGAGGGCTCTGAGTCATCCCGGAGCTGACAGGGAGGGAAGGACATGGAGGTGGCTGCTCTCTGGGCCAGGGCAGGCCCCCCGGCTCTGGGGAGCTGATAGGAGCTGGGTGGATCCCAGGGACCAGGGGCTGTGGCCTGCATGTCTCAGTGCCTGGCCTCCCAGGCCATGCACTGATAGATATGTGTGTTTTGGAGCCAGAGAAAGAACAGCTGTTTTCAGGGCTCACATCTACATCTCCACAACATGTTATTGTTCAAGGGTAGGGAAATATGCAGGGCCCTGGAGCCATAGCAGGTGCTGGAAAGCAGGGTTTTCCTGTTTTCCTGACTCAGACAATGGAGACACCAAGAAGAATAATAGGAAAAGGCTTTCCTGCATTTACATATTTAAAAACTGAGTTATTTTGAATGTGGTGACTTTTTTTGGTTAAATCTGTTGCCTGTTCTAGTTTTCCCAGAACTATTTATGGACAAAGAGACTTGGACAGAAGTACCTGGTAATCTGCAGAAATGCACCCTGCCAGAGGCTAGTGCCCAGCAAGGGAGGAGACGGCACTGCGGGAGGCCGAGTCCACTCTGCTGGGTGCACAGGCATAACAATGCTCGGGCACACCTTTTGTTTTACTCTACAGTCCGCCCGCAGGATAGGGATGCAGCAGGCAGACTTTGGGGTGACACATGGCTCAGTCCTCGAATCACAGGCTCTGTCCCTCAGGCAGTAGACATGGGAGGGCAGCCCGGCTCCCACTCTCAGCCCGGCCCTGTGGGATTCACACAGGAGATCCTACAGGAACCGTGGTATATGGCCCTGGGCTTTCCTGTTCCTATCATGGGCTGAGACTGAACCATGGGAGCCCTCACTGCTTGTTGGTGGCCCCCTGGCTAGGGGGCATTTCCACTGTGTAGGGAGGGGGCAGCAGCTCAGAACCCCAAACCAAGATCCTCACACCCTGAGTACGGTGGCAGCAGATGTGAATGGGAGGAGAGAGCCCCGAGGCCAGCGGTTTTTCTGGGGTTCACTGTCTGAGCGGCCAGACCTTGGTTGTTGCTCCTCACGGGAGTGGAAAAAGAGCTCCACTTGCCACCAGGAAGGGGCTACGGCGGCACCACGCAGGACTCCAGGACCTGCCTTCCTTTGCTGCCCATGTCCCCTGAGGTCCTGGGAAGGTCTCAGCACCCTAGACATAAAGCTGAGCTGCCACCCACAGGAAAGTTTGAATACAGAAACCAGGACACAGGTCTGGGCCACGTGAGATGTAAAGGGGACCCCCAGTGACCTCCAAAGGGTCTGAGCAGGGCACACAGGGGCCCAGGATAGGGCTGTCTCTTCCACCCTAAATGGCCAGGGCAGAAGCGGGAGGCCCTGGTGCTGGTGCTGCACTCATATTTATTTCTTTCAAGTGCAAACATTACCATCTTTAAAAACATCCAAATGGTTGGTGTCAGGCTCCGGGTGAAGGATACCCAGTCTCAACAGTTCACCGAGGTATTGTGGCCAGTGGTCCTGTGGCCTGCCTAGTGGACACAGCCTTGGGCTCCCTGAAGCATTAAAAATCAACCTGAGATCCTAGCACTCTGGGAAAGTGAGGTAGGCTGAGGCAGGAGGATGGCAAATTCAAGCCCAGCCTGTTCAACTTAATGACACTATCTCAAAAAAAAAAGTTTGGGGGCTTAGCTTGGAGAAAAGACTCTGGGTTTAATCCCAAGAACATAAAAAAATTTAAAAATTAAAAAAGTAGATGAAAATCCGAACTCCCAACTGACACCTGAAAGGTACAAGCTGACTTTAGAAAGTGGAAGCTGCCCCCATCGTGCTCACATCTGCCTGCTTGGACTCCCCACATTTCCACACTGACAAAGGAATTCATTTAGCTCTGAAGGTCATGTCCAGGTGGTCGCTGTCCACTCCAACCCCAGGATGGCAATGCTAGAGGGGGACACAGCAAGGCCCATGGGGCCCCAGGGTAGCCCTGCCACACTCAGGCAACTTCTTGGGATGTTTTCCAGGCAGGTCGGCTGTGAGCAAGGCCCAGGTCTCTAACCTTAGTTTACGCTGAGGGCGGCAGGCACGGTGGCCTGGAGCTGAAGCCGTTTTACAAAAGGTGTCAGAGGTTCCCTCTTCCCACTCTCTTCCCTTACCAGCCCCTAACTAAGATGAGGACAGAACACAGGACCCAAAGCATCACAGGACTGAGCCACAGCAGATCCAATCTTTCCACGGCCCTGAGCTAAAGCACTTCAAAAGCGTAGCTGCCCAGATGGTCTGCACACCACCCGCCAGCCATCCCTGAGCAGGAGGAGTGGTGGGAGCCACAACCCGAGCGCCCTGCCTTTTCCACGGTCCAGTGTGTTCACCTTGGCTGTGCAGGTGAAGCAAGCCCTGCTGGTCCTTCTTTGCTGCTCATACGAAGCCCTCCGCTCCTTCAAGCAACTGTCCTCATATTTTTCAGCCTTACTTGCAAATAAACCCAAGACCACAGGAAATGTAAGAACCAGAGGATGCGTGTCTATACTTCCTGCGTCCCAGAGCAGAGACCTTACTTCCGGCCATTCTGAAGGTTTCCGCAGCATGAGGGGCTGAGCCAGGCAGCAAGGATGCAGAGGGAGGAGTGGGTTCCAGTCTGAGCAAGTTCCCGCTAGCAGCACAGGGCTTCTGGTGCAGTCAGGTTACCAAGGGCCTGAGTGCCAGGAGAAGCACCAGCCGCCACCCTCTGCTCAGAAGAGAGCAGTTTGCAGGGGCACAGAGAGCCTTGGGACCTGGCTCCTGGCCTGACCAGATGCAAGGGAGAAAGGGGATCAGCTGCATCTGAATTTGGAAATGGGGTGCCTGTGGAAGTCCTGCATGTTCACAGAGTCCCCACGCTTGCAGGGGAACACATAGCTTCTGCTGCAGAAAATGTCATCAGCACCAAGAAAATACCTGCATGCCCAAGCCACAGGCCCTTGGTGGGGAAGGTGCAGCCAGCCAGGCTTCCAGAGGGTGTGTCCTCCTCTTCGCCTCTGGGGTGGTGGCAACTGGCCAGAGGAGTCCCCAGGCCACCTCCCCTTCAGCAGTCTGACCCAGGTGTTGGACTGTGGAAACAAAAGGTGATGCCAGTGTTGACAGTGCTCTATTGTGACCACATCTGACCATAGACCCCACCCACTCACCTCTCCCCACGCTAAAGAGACCAGCACCTCTGGGTGCCTCTCCTGCCTCTACCTCCTTACAGCCAGCCCTGCCCTGCCCTGTCCTTTGCTGCCCTGGCATGCCCTGCACCTTTGGCCCTCACCTGTACTGATTCTCACGGCCTTCAGCCCGCTCCGGAACCCAGGTGTAGCTGTCTGCTGCATTCTGTGGCTTCTTCTCCTTTATCTCCCGCTTGGCTCTCCGCTTGCGACAGACCAGGATCCCCAGGGCCAGTGCCAGCAGCAAGGAGATGGCCACCACCGTGCCCAGGATGTAGAACAGCAGCAGCCTCTGCCCATCCTCACCATCCTCACCCAGTGGTTGGCCATGGCCAGCAGCAGCTTTGGACAGGGGGGTGCTTAGCTCCATACCAAGGTCAGGGTGTCCATTGGGGGTTGGTGCTTTGGGGTAGGCAGAGGGAGTAGGGACTTCAGAGGGCAAGGAGGCCCTCCCTGTGGTGAGTATCCCTGTGGAGAAGCTGTCAGAGCCCCTGCTGGAAGCGGGCACATCTTGAGGCGTGGAGGTGGGGGGCATGGAGGTTGCAGGCAGGGAGGTAGGAGACAGGGTATTCCACTTCCTGGCTGGCTCATCCTCTGGCAGGAGCCCAGCCAGTGATACTGAGGATGCAGGGTCTGGGATGCAGGAGAACCCATCAGGGCCCAGTGTCCAGCCTGCCAGGCAGCCGCAGTGGAAGGAGCCAGGCACGTTGGAGCATGGGCCTTGGCAGGGGTTGCCAGTGGGGCCTGCACACTCGTCCTCATCCTCACACTGGGTGGCGTTTTCCCCAGACGGGGCGTAGCCCGGCTGGCAGGAACAGTGGAAAGAGCCAGGGGTGTTGGTGCAGTGCTGGGTGCAGGGTGCAGGGTCAAGGGCACACTCATCCACATCTACACAGGCCTCCTCCCCAGGGCCACCAGCTGTGTAGCCCACCCAGCACTCGCAGCGGAAGCTCCCGTCTGTGTTGACACAGTCCTGGGCACAAGGTGCATCCTGGCACTCGTCCACGTCCACACATTTCAGCTGGCTTGCATCCAGCTGGTAGCCAGGGGAACAGTGGCATGTGTAGCTGTCTCCCTGGGACCCGAGGATGCAGGTGGCCTCCCCCTTGCAGGGGTTAGAGCTGCATGGGTTTCTAGAGGCGCAGGACACCAGGTCATCCCGCAGCCGGAAGCCAGGCCTACAGCCACAGCGGAAGGAGCCAGCGCCTCCCTCGAAGCAGTCCTGCTCACAGCCCCCATTGTTGAAGCTACAGCCAAGCTCAGGGTTGACGCAGACGGGCCCGGTGATGCCCCAGTCGAACACCTGGGTCGCCTTCTCCCTGCACAGCAGTTCATAGCTCTGCAGCTCAGCCCCTACTTCACAGGCCACATTGGCCAAAGAACCAAATGGCACAGCGTCCAGTGAGGAGGTGGTGGCCCTGAAGGGGGTGCTGTAGTTCACCTGGCCAGGTCCCCCCAGGGCCAGTGGCCGGCACATGCCTTTGAAGCTGAACTTGCACACGAAGCCTTCTGTGTTGCTTCCCGGGTTGCTGGAAGATCCACATGGGCCATCAGACCACTTGGGGAGGCGGTCTGGCTGGGGGATCTCGGAAAGGTCCAGCGTCAGGGCCACACAGCGCTGGGAGAGGCAGGAGCTCTTGAGATCTTTCTGCCAGTTTGTGTACTCTGTATCCTCCCCGCCACCCACCCAACTGAAGCCCTTGAGTGGCAGCTCAGGGTCCAGGCACTTGCCCTTCTCACGCTGGAGCCCCACCCAGAACTTGCCCATCCTCGCTGCCAGGGGCGCCCTTGACCGCAGGAGCTGGGCCAGGGCGCGCTGAGTGAGCCGGGCCTCCTCCTCGCTCTTCACCGTGGCCAGATTGCCCCCGTTCTGCCTGCAAAAGCCCTGGGCGTCAGCTGGACTCAGCCTGCCCCAGTGGGCCGTGTAGCAGGCAGTCCCGGCACACACCACAGCCTCAGTCGTGGCCTCTGCAGTGGAGGCCGCAGCCCCCACCCAGGGCTGGACCAGGAGCAGCAGCAGGAGCAGGTCCCAGCAGCTAGCCATTCCACCTCCGAGTCCCCGACGCAGGAGGCCAGGAGCCCCACAGTGACCACAGCGACAGCGACGACAGCAGCTTGGACCCTGGCTCCCGGCTGTACTCCCAGGGGCGCCGAGTATGGAGCCCCAGCAGCTCTGACACGGAGACTGCCGCCGCCAGCGTCCCCCTGACCCAAGGCGCATCCTGTGCCTCCTACTTCTTGCTTCTCACCGGAAGCCAGGACTTCCTGCAGTGAATAGCTTTCCAACGCCTGCTGCTTTCATGGGCTCTGTTGTTCCTAAAAGGGGCCAGGCCACCGTGCAGGGTCTCTGGCCCGAGTTGTGGAAAAGCTGAAATCGGGATGACAGATGCGGCTCGGAGATACGCCGGCTGCTTGGTTAGGATTGAGAAACTGAAATGGCAGCTACTGAGCAGCAGAGACAGGGAACTGAACAAGATCCTGCAGTAACCCATCACTAAATTTCTCTGGTTTGCAAACAATCAGAGAGGAAAAAAACTCTGAGGCTTAAGATACCACACTGTGGATAGTTATAATTTTCGGGCCTTTTTTAGAAGCAAGTGGGATTTTTCTTTCCCCTATCTCGTGTTCCCCATTGGCTTTGGGAGTCCTTTTTCTTTCAGTGTCCCCATGTTGAACTTTAAATAGATAGGCAGTCTTTAAATAGGACCCGGGCCGTGAGAATGTCTGGGATTCTAACACAATGCCAACCGCCTCAAGATCATTCAAGAAAATTGGTTGAAATTTGGCAGTTTCCAGGGTCTCATTGTCCAAATAATTGCATGGTGAGGTGGCAGGGTCACACAAAGGGACCAGAAATGAAGGGAACAAAAATGTTTCTGGCCTCAAGGCCACAGGCTTGCATGCTTTTCCGATGGCTCAGAGTTCAAAATGGATGAGACCGAGAGGCTGTAATCTGGGCAGGGACGGGAGCCAGGCTGAAGATCTGGCCAGGGACAGGAGTCATAGCTCAGTCCCCTCTCCCACACCAATGTGTCCAAATGCTTTAATGAAAGGTTTTCTTCCTGCCCTCAGCAAGGCTGCTTTTTGTTGGGATCTCTCAGGAGGCCACACGATACGGATTCAGAGCAAGCAGGTTATTTGGAGGCAGGCAGAGCCAACACAGGTGACTTGTTGAGCAGATGACCCTAGACTCTTGGAGCCTGAGTGTCTACACTCTGAAAACAGTGGGTCTGGACCTCTGTGCTGACCCCGAGGGCAGGAGCCTTTCTGCACCAACCCCTGTGTCACAAGCAGCTGCGTCTTCTGCAGGCAGGCTTCTTCAGTCTTCCCAGGGCTTCTGCAGGCAGAACGGGGACAATCCGGCCACGGTGAAGAGCGAGGAGGAGGCTCAGCTCACTCAGTGCGCCCTGGCCCAGCTCCTGCGGCCCTGTCTCAGGGCCACAGCTGTACACTCTGTTCCCTCCCACCTGGCAAGGTGGCCATTCATGGGAACACTGCTGCCTGGCAGTGGTCTCATGGTTCTTGCATCTTCTGAGTCCAGCTGATTTCTACTCTCTGCTCAGAGAGGAGGTAGACAGGCTGTGGGATGAGACTCCAAAGAGGGAACTCAGTGGGCATGAGAAGTCACAGCAGCACTTTTATTCCACATGAGCCTTCCAGGGCCAGCAGGGAGGAGGACAAAGACGGGGAAGGCTGAAGTCGCAGTCCCTGCTAGAGTCCAGGTCACTGACCTTGCAGCTGTCCTAGCAGAGTCCTATGATCTTGCTGGGACTGAGTGGTGGTTTCTATAGCCATCTTCCCGGTCCATGTACAGGGTAGTGTCAGGAGGTGAAAGGGGAGATCCTCAGGAAGGTGGCCACCAGAAGGCAGGCATACAAAGTAGATATGGATGGATAGGGGTAGAGGACTAAGAGCTGTATATTAGTCAGGGCTTTACTAGAGAAAACAGGTATAACACAAGATATACAAATGTGGAAGAAATGACAAAATTGGCTTATGATGGTCAGCCATAGAGTCAGATGAGGAAGCATGCAGAGAGTGTCTACATACTGGAGGCCGAAGGATTCAATCCTAAGTCTGGAGTTCACCCTAGTGTCTTGTGCAAGTCCACACCAGCAGGCTGATGATGGGTCTGTGGCAGAAGGTCAAAGGCTCTACAATGGAAGGCTGAAGAGTCTGTGCAGGAAAGCTGAAGAGTCTACACTGGAAGCCAGGAGACAACATCCAAACCAAAGGCAAAGAATGGAGCTTCTCCAAGAATGCAATGGAATCATCTTTGCTCCTTCCCTTCCATACTTCCATACTTCCATACTCCCTTCCATGAGCCCCACTAGGGTGGGTATTCTGCACCCTAGGGTGTAGAGTTGCTAACCCCATTTAGTTAAGCTTCTAAATGTCTCATGTTGACACAATCAATCAACCACTACAACCACTACCCCTTGTCAACTTGGCAACCAGACACATTTCTTTAAACTAGTTCCAAATACACAGACATGCATATAATTGTACCTAACATGTTATAACTGTCCTTCGTAGAAACAGAAACACACCAATCTCCCTATCTGAATACACAATGTAACTTTTCTTTGGTTGATGCTTACTCCTATCAGTTTATAACTTTAACATTATAACACAAGTTTAACAATTCCCAAAAACCAGGATTAAGTCTAACATTATGTTACATTAAAATCATATTTGGGGAAAAATAGTAATCATAATCCTCTTTTCTGTAACTGATCACCAAGTGGTAGCTGGTATTTAGAACTCCCTTCTTCCACTACCCATTCTGTATTCCCTTGGCCTTCAGCAAGCACCTCAGCAGGTCTCAGTTCTTGTCCTGGTAGAGTGACCCATACTTTCATTCCTGAAGATTCTGGACCGCTTGTCACTTTTTCTGGATTAGGTTGCTGTAATTTTCCATTAACCTTAATGACAGGACATAGTAATACTAAACAGTGCCCTAAGGAATCTCCTGCACTCCACATATATTCTTCCTTTCCTCCATTGTGGAGTAGTAGTCCAACTATCCCTTGGTATTCTGGGTCAGTAACCTCTGAAAACACTCTGACTTCCTTTTTAACTTGTTTCCTCAGAGTCCTGAGGAGACCAAAATGACCAGCGGTGAGCCTTAGCTTCCAGTTCAATGGTACCATTGATGTGCTTCCTGGTATAAGACTTTCCCACTCTGGAACAGAAACTTCTAAGCCAACAGAACATGAAGTCATGGGGACAGGAAGCAAAAATTTTGCTAGTGGATCACTAGGGGTAATGGTGAGTGGCACCATTCCTACTTCCACCTATTGATTCCTGGACCCACAAATCCCTGGACTCCCCTAGCTATGGGAGACACAGTGCCATATAATGGATGCTGATTTAAAGCATATAAAGCCTGTTGAAGTACCTTACTCCAGCCTTGCAAACTGTTGCCACCTAGCTGGCATTGTAACTGTGTCTTCAAAAGGCCATTCCATCTTTCTATCAATCCAGCTGCTTCTGGATGGTAAGGGACATGGTAGGACCATCGAATTCCATGAGCATGAGCCCATTGTCTCACTTCTTTAGCTGTAAAATGTGTTCCTTGGTCAGAGGCAATGCTATGTGGAATTCCATGATGGTGAATAAGCCATTCTGTGAATGCAAGGATGGTAGTTTTAGCAGAAGCATTATGTGTGGCAAAAGCAAATCCATATCCAGAATACGTATGTATGCCAGTGAGGACAAAGCGCAGGCCCTTCCATGATGGAAGTGGTGCAATATAATCAACCTACCACAAAGTTGCAGGTTGATCACCCTGGGGAATGCTGCCATATTGGGAACTCAGTATTGGCCTCTTCTGCTGGGCATACTGGGCATTCAGCAGTGGCTCTAGCCAGATCAACCTTGGTGAGTGGGAGTCCATGTTGCTGAGCCCATACATATCCTCCATCCCTATCACCATGGCCACTCTGTTCATGGGCCCATGGGGCAGTGACGGGTGGCTGAAGAAGGAGGTTGGCCACTGTCCAGAGAACAAGATCCACTTGATTATTAAAATCCTCTTCTGCTGATGTTACCTTTTGGTGAGCATTTACATGGGAAATGAATATGTTTACATCCTTTGCCCATATAGAGATGTCTATCCACATACCTCTTCCCCAAATGTCTTTGTCACCAATTTTCCAATTATGCTCTTTCCAGGTTCCTGACCATCTAGCTAGACCACTGGCTACAGCCCATGAATCAGTATACAAGTTTCACATCTGGCCATTTCTTCTTCCAGGAAAAATATACCACCAAGTGCACTACTCTAAGTTCTGTCCCACTGTGACAATTTCCCTTCAACATTATCTTTTAAGGACATCCCAGAAAGGGGCTGTAATGCTGCAACTGTCCACTTTTGGGTGGTGCCTGCATAATGTGCAGAGCCATTCATAAATCAGGCCCTAGCCCTCTTGTCTTCTGACAGCTGATTATATGATACACCCCACAAGACCATAGGTGCATGCTGGGAAACCAAAGTTAACATAGCAAGTATAGAAGCCATAGGTATCTGGGCAACTTCCTCATATAATTTACTTGTACATTCTGGACCTGCTCTGGCTGGATCATGAATGTACCACCTCCATTTAATGATAGACTGTTGCTGTGCACATCCAACTTTATGACTTGGTGGATCAGATAATACTCAGGCCATGATAGGCAACTGAGGTTGCATGGTGACCTGGTGTCCCATAGCTAAGCATTCAGTTTCCACTAGGGCCCAGTAGCAGGCCAACAGCTGTTTCTCAAAGAGAGAGTATTTGTCTGCCTACTGGTATGAAATTGCATGAGACTCTAGGGTGAACTCAAGACCTTGGATTGAATCTTTTGGCCTCAAGAGTATAGACACCCTCTGCATGCTTCTTCATCTGGCTCTATGGCTGACCGTCCTAAGCCAATCTTGTCATTTCTTCTATGTTTATATATCCCATGTTATACCTGTTTTCTCTAGTAAAACCCTGACTAACACAAATTTTGGCACCAGGAGTGGGGCTGTTGCTGTAACTATACCTAACCATGTGGTTCAAGAGCCTTTGGAAATGGCTTGTGGGCAGAGTTTGGAAAGGTTAAGAGATGTCACCTGAATGCATAGAGATGGAACAGCTTAGGCTGTTCTGTAGAGATGATTCCGGTCAGGGCTCAGGAGACCAGAAGGCAGATAAAAACCTGCTGGTAAAGACCAGGTTTAGGAGGTTTCTGCTGGTATAAGGACTGCATTGGTTGTTGGACTCCAGTTAATGTATGTTATGGCTTGGAAGAAAGTTTGCCTGCATTTTGCTCGTACCTA